ATCTAAATTCCTCCACAACTCTACTTCATTGCCAACAAGTCCATTTCCTTACCTAATTTCTTTATCCTTCAAAGCCCAGTCAAAAGATGCTGCAATATTTGCCAAGAAGCCTTTCTTTATACTTTCTCTCCCTTTAAAATGTTAATCCAGCCTTCTTATCCTCCCACAATACCTTAAAGCAATGTGCACATTCTGTATTATCCTTATATTTATCTCCTTTACTAAATTCATTATAGACAGGTTCCATGTTTTATCATCCCATTCTTCCATTTGAATATAGTATAGGGGAAATGTCCTTAAAGGTTTGTGGTATTATTCTATTCCAATTTTAACCTAAAATTAAAATATACAATGTAACACAAGGTAGGGCTTCATTATAATTATTCCCAGCCTTTCCTTCTCTAATAAGGAAAAATAACTCCTGTAGGCACCAGTAAGAATCACTTTTTAAACAAATTCTACCCTCCTCTCTTCCAAAAACACCAGGATTCTGTATTAGAGGAGAAGGTGATGGCCATGATTTTTTCAATCTTTATATCACACTCCAATCAATAAGAAATGAATTCAGGAATTTTTCTATTCACCAAGGAATAAGTACAATTAACATAAACATGTAGTAAAAAGAAAATCACAGGATGCTTTCAAAATTGTTTACAAAATTCCAAGTTTTACAATAATTCAGTCTTCTGTTACTTCATTTTTGTGCCAAAACTTACAGTTTTTCTCCTCTCAGGAGTCAGGAGTCCCCCACCTCTACCTCCCTTGGTCTTTTTATTTGAGCCTTTAGCATCAGCTCTCAGTAGGTCAGATTTACAATCACCCTCTAAACTTGTAGCCTCTAATAAATCAAACAAACCTTACAGGGATTTTTCCTTCAGGATTAATGTCATTCTAACTCCTCTAATGAGTTTTCCCAGAGATAAAACAGAAGAAGTCTATGCCTTGTTAGGAAACTGTGGGTGGTACCAATGATCAAAAACTCAAAAATCAGAAGCATAATTCTATAGTGAATTTGTAATTCTTAATCTAGAAAAAGAGATCAGATTACTCAATTGAAACACCAATAGGTTAACTAAAATGAAGTCTAACTAATTTGATTTTGCTCATAAATCTCATAATTAACATAAACTTTGAGTAAGAAGAATAACTAAGATTCAAATAGGATAAAAATGATCAGCACTTTCACAGCCATTTGATGTTAAGGAAATTACAGCTATTTGGAATGATGATATAAAATACCATGAAGTGATCTGATGAATACATAATAAAATTACCTTTATTATAGGACACAATCTGTATTTTAGCTTTCAAGAGAATCCTATTTATCCATCTACTTGAGAAGAAGAAAAGAAAAAAGAGCACCATCCATCCCTCTCCAAAATAAATACCTTACATAAAAACTAACTCAAAATGGATCACAGACCTAAATGTAAGCATCAAACCACTAAAAACTCATAGAAGAAAACACAGGTATATAAATCTCAGTGAGTCTGAATTAGGCAATAGTTTCTTAAACATATACCAAAAGCAGAAACAATTACAGAAAAAAAACCGATAAATTGAACTTCATTAAAACTTTGGTGGGATAACAGTATGGAGGTTCCTTAGAAAACTAAAAATAGAGTTACCATATGCCCCAGAACTTCCACTCTTTGGCATATATCCAGAGAAAATTCTTAACTCGAAAAGATACATTCACCCAAATGTTCATAGCAGCTATTTACAATAGCCAAGACATGGAAACAACCTAAATGTCCATTGAGAGATGATTAGATAAGAAAGGTGTGGTATATATAGACAATGGAATACTACTCGTCATAAAAAAGAATGAGATAATGCCATTTGCAGCAACATGGATGGACCTAGAGATTATCATACTAAGTCAGACAGAGAAAGACAAATATCATATGACATCACTTATATGTGGAATCTAAAAAAATGATACAAATGAACTTAGAAAACAGAAAGAGACTCACAGACATAGAAACAAACTTATGGTTAAATTAGGAGTTTAGGATTAGCAGATACAAACTACTATATATAAAATAAACAACAAGATCCTACTATATAGCACAGGGAATTACACTCAGTATCTCATAATAACCTATAATGAAGAACATATGAAAAAGTATATGTATGTATAATTGAATCACTATGCTGCACACCAGAAACTAACACATTGTAAATCAACTATACATCAATATAAAAAGTGAAATAAAATAAAATAATAAAATTTTTGTGCTTCAAAAGATATCAAGAAAGTGAAAAGGAAATCCACAGAATGGGGAAATCATATATCTAAGTTGCAAATCATACATTCAATAAGTGTCTATAATCAGAATATATAAGCTCTTACAACTCAACAGTAAAAAGACAACCCAATTTAAAAATGTGCAAAGGACTTTAATAGATATTTCTCCAAAGATCTATAAATGGCCAAAAAGCACATGAAAAGAGGCTCAAGTCATTAGCCATCAGGGAAATGCAAATCAAAACTATAGTGAGATACCACTGTATAGTCACTAGGGTGATTATAATAATAATAATAAAAGATAGACAATAACAGTGTTGAGGATTTGGAGAAATTGGAACCTTCATGTATTTGTAGTGGGAATGTAAAATGGTACATTCACTTTGGAAAACAACTTGAGGAAGTCTTTAATTTACTGATATGGAACTACCTCCAAGATAGTTCATGATTCAAGTGAAAAAAAGCAAGGAGCATACTGTAGTAGATATAGTACACCACTTGTTTATAAAAGAAAAAAAAGAACATATAAAAACAAATTTGCTACACAAGAAAATGGTAACACCAGTTGCCTCTGGTAATGTTTGCTGAGTGGCGGGAAGACAGGGGTAATATGAGAGACAAGGGTAGTATTTAAAAGATAACTTTACATCCTTTTTTAATGCTTTAAATTCTGAACCATGTGAATGAAGTATCAAAAATTAATACTTAAACATATTTAAGTGCTCACTGCAAGGCACATACTAACAATCAAAATTGTATGATCATTATTATTGAAAACAGGAGTTGCAAACTCAAATCCCTTCAGAGATTTAATGTTGTGTTCTACCATATGAATGAGTGAAGTATAGAGTATAAGACAAGTGAGAGAAGCTTAAAATCCAACTAGAAGTGGAGCAGCTGCTACTGAACTCCAGCTGATTATATTTACTCTGGAAAACAGACATAATGCTGCCAGGTTTTCCAAATTTTCAAAAGATACCAAAAATCCAAATATGTGAAATATCCTGATTTTTAATGTTGGGCCTGTACCATGCTAGTGGGCCAGATTCAGCCCACAGGCCATCTGATTATTACCTGGGATGTATAAAAAGCCCTTAATTTATGAACAATATATTGGGCTTCCAAACTGTCTTTGCAAGTTTGGGAACTCCAAATGCATTTTCTCTGTAAGAGTGAAATAAGTAGCAGTTCGGTTTCCAGATTCATTTTATAGGTAAACTATAGTACTGAACCAACAGCACTATGTCACCTACCCTCTATGATTAACAATGTTTATATTAAACAACTTAGTCTAAGTTTCTACTTAAGATTTTGAAAAGTCCAAAATGGCAAATCCAAGGATAATAAAAGGGAAGGAAGTGACTGGGAAGAATTTGAAGAAAGGTAAGGAGACTTAGATGGACATAGGTGAAGGATCTTAGGCAAAAATTCAGATTATTATAGTGGGTAATAAGATAAGCTTTCAAAATTTCTCTGAAGATCTGTGTCTTCTGTAGACAACAAATTTAGCAAAAGAGAAAAAGAAAGGAGAAAAGGATGTGTCTCAGCAACAGCAACAGCTGAAAAGGACTGAAGCCTCAGCTCCAAGGGGTTGGTGATGATCTCTAAAAGAACTCTGTAGTTGCTCATAAGTCAGACATCATAAGGTAAGAATGCCAAATAACTAGCCCTAACAAAAATTATAAAACCAAAAGTAAATCCCCATGCCTACTAGAAGATTAAACTAAAACTTATTTTCTAAAGGTACACTTTATTACTAAAGGAACAAGAAGTTAACTTTTTTTTTTCCTAACTGAAATTCACTCATGAGTGTTCCTATGAACTTTACATTTTCTACTCATGGATAAATATTCTATTTGGAGATCACCTATGGCAAAGATGTAACCTCAGGAGATAACCACTCCCTAGTACCTATGGTTATCTTTGCTAGCATTTGGCCAATGTATAGCTAAATAAATGCCTAACTATTTTAACACTACCCTAAGAGTAAACATGATTTAAAAAATAAAATCTGGTAATTTTTGGAAGTCAGTTATTAGTGATGCTTCATGATATGACTTTATCTTGTAATTCTGAAGAATAGTCTCTAAGTTTTTCAGCAACCTGTATGAAATTCAGCTGATACGTGCTCAGGACAACATTAAAACTGCTTTATTGCTCCTAGGTAAACCTAATTAGGAAAATAAACTTGCTATATGGAAAAAATCATGTGTAATCTAAATCCCAACAGGAATGACCACTGGATTGAATTCAATAGGCACATTTTTCCAGTTAACATGGAAAGCCAAGATGCTGCTCTAAGTAGTTGTAGCTTACCAAGTTTTGGATTATGAGGGTGTCTGCTCCCCTCCATCAGTATACAAATCATATGTACAACATAATTTATAAAGGGTGCTAATATTATGAAGTCATTAGAACTTTTTAAGTAAGGAGATAGATATTTCCTACAATTATTATTTACTTAACTAGACACCTAATTCTTTTCTAGATAGGATATGCTCATAATGCTTCAAAATTATTTTAAAAAGAATCATTAGCCTTCAACTCCATTTATACAGAGTCACCAACAAAGAAAAAACTTTTGAGTGTTTCTTATATTTCTTGACATGGCCCATCAGAAAACATGGAAAAAGTGTAAATAGAAACAAGAGATTTCAGGTTTTGAGCCTGACCAAAATTAGTCTAAGGAACTATTAGACTGTTTTTACAGGAAAATGTTAAAGATATTTTAATTGATTATAATACATACCTTGCTGAGCTAAAGTTGATCTTAGCATTCCAGTCTTTGACCAGATTTTTATTTGTCCATCTTCTCCAACTATAAAGAGAAAATGATTGATTTTTTATCTATATAAAATAAATTTAAACATTAAATTTGCATATAAAACCTAGCAGTACCTATATTAATCCACATTTGAAATTCAGACATGAGTTACTCTAATTAAATGACACTGATTCGTAACTATAAAATTTAACTAAAATTACTCTGAACAATTTTATCAAAGTAGCCTAACTCCATGACAAAAATTATTTTTTTCCTTTAATCTTAGAAGGTTTATGAGTATTTTATTCAAATCATGCTTTCATTTTTGCTGAAATCTCTATCCTAGAATTTTAAGTGCTTTCAGTGTAATAAGAGAAGTTGCAGCCAAACTCCAGTGAGTTGGGGACTGTATGGAATGAAGTAATAGACTATTCTTTTGAACAGTTTGCCAGAAAGGGGAAGAAAGAAAGAGGAAGTTGTAGCTAGTTATTTGTTAGATGAGGGATTTTTATTTCTTTTTTCTCAATTTTCAAGATGAATGATATCTGAACACATGTATATGATGGGGTGGGGGTGGAAAAGGAGAAGTTGAAGAAAAAGGCAAGAGAAGGGACAACTCACTGATAAATGTCCTACAAAAGGCCCAGAGGATGGTTTGGTGGTTTTAAAACACATCCACAAATTCTTTGCTATTCCCCCTATTAAGAAGTGAAGCTCAATTTCCCTCTCCTTCAGTTTGGGCTATTTAATGACTTGCTTCTAATAGGATATAGTGGAAATGATGGAGTATGACTTCCAAGGTGGGTCATAAGATATATTGTGGCTTCCATCATGCTCTGTCTTACATCACTCACTCAGGCAGAAGCTCCAGCTGTCATGTTGTGAGAACACTCAAGCAGCCTTATGGAGAGGCCCACATTGTGAGGAACTAAGTAGGGTCTCCTACAACAGTCACAGAGGAAGTAAGATCTCTTGCCAACAACCATGTGAGTGGGCCATCTTGGAAGCAGATCCCCCAGCCCAAATGGGGTTTCATATGAGTGCAGCTCCATCCAACCTCTCGATTCTGAGACAGAACCACCCAGTTAAATTGTTCCCTGTCCCACAGAAATTGTGAGATAATACATGTTTATTACCTTAAGTCACTAACTTTTGGGATAATTTGTTATGCAGCAATAGGTAATTAACATAATAGGTGAAGATGAGAATCCTTGCAGTAGGGCAGGAGATGGAAGACAGATGGAAGGTGGGTAAAGGTCAGTTAAATGAGAATATTTTGAATTGTAGAATTTTGTAAGAAATAAAACTTGTATTTACCCCATACTTGATTATTCCAAAACCTTCTGTGACAGAATATTCTCCTTAAGCCATATAAGAAAACCAATATTCCATTCTGAATTATAACACTATATAGCAGTCTAGATCAATAATGTGTCAATTATTTGCTATTAGACAATGAAAGACACCATTACTAAATGAAAATATTCTGTTCCTTTAAAAAATTTTTCCTTAAAAAATTCCTTTAAGGGGTGGGAGTATAGCTCATCAGTAGAGAACATGCTTAGCATGCATGAGGTCCTGGGTTCAATTCCCAGTACCTCCATTAAAAAAAATTCATTTAAATTGTCATTTTTGCAGATAACCTACCTGTAACTAATGCTGTTCCTTCATAATTCCATCGTCCTGCAAGTACTGCTCCACAGTGAGCTTCCACACTTTTCTCTACTCTTCCTAACTTAGAAATCAGATGAAATTTACCTAAAAGAAATTGTATTTGGGAAATCTGTTTTACTAAATTAATTTCTCCAATCAAACATCTGTTGAGGACCAACTACTAGACTAGTTAACATAATGCTAGGCATCAGAGATACAAGGTACAAATAATATAATTACTCTTACTCTCAAGGAGCACACAAATCTATTAGAAAACAGGCGTAAAAAAAACAAAATTATAAGCCTTGAAACAAGTGGTATTCAGAAACATACATATGATGTTATGTTGTCTTCAGAGAGACAACAAAATTCTGTTGGGATATGGTCAAATGGGGCCAAGAGGAATGTCAAGAAAGCCTTCTATTTAAGCATAGTTTTGTATTCTTGGTTTGTTTTTTGGGGGGGGGGTGCTCCAGAAAAGTCGGAAAAGGTGTAGAGGAGAGGAACTAGGATAAATGGTGTTAAAAGTTAAAATGACGCATATTTTAAAATATTGAAGTTTATTTGTACAAAAATCAATTCCAATCCAACAGTGCCAAAACCTTAAGTGGTTAGGAACGCTCCACTGACAGGAGCTCAGGAAGAAACTTTAACAGAGAAAATGCAGAAGTAAAATAAGGACATTATTGATCGACTACAGCTTAAAGTCTAGTTGGCTGTTTGCGACTGGTTCCTTAGGTTTCAATTCTGTAAACTTGAAGCATTCATTTACAAGCTTAGATTTTGGTTTGCTTATTAGGTATAAAGCATTAAGAGCCACCTCAAGCCTAAAGACCTCTTTGTTTAACTAATTTAATAATTGATAATCCAAGTTTTAAAACTTCTGCCTTATTCAATTTTACACTGAAGCTAGGCACCAGGTAAACCAAAAGAACTTGGTTGCCATCCTCAAAAAGTTCACGCACATATAGGCAAAAAAGTAAAAAACTTATAACTTTAAAGGACCTAAGCAAACTATATAAGAGATGACAAGGGGACAAATCAACTGTGCACAGAAGTGCTACAGGAAGCCAAAAAAAGCTCAGTGTGGTTCTGAATTATCATGAAGCCTAGTAATATATAGTTTGTAATAAAATAACTAAGTACAGCTGGTCCTCTGTACCCACAGGTTCTGCATCCTTGTACTCAACCAACTGATCAAAAAAACACTCCAGAAAGGTCCTAAAGCAGAATTTGAATTTGCCCTGCACCAGCATCTATTTACATAGCATTTACATCGTATTTACAACTATTTATGTAACATTTATATTGTATTAGGTATTATAAGTAATCTAGAGATGACTTAGAGTATATAGGAGAATGTGTATAGGTTATGTGCAAATAAGATCCCATTTTATATGAGGCACTTGAGCATCTGTGGATTTTGGTATCTCCAGGGGTCCTGGAACCAATTCCCCTTGGATACTGAGGGAAAGCTGTAGAGAAATTAGAAACTTTTTCCCAAATCAAAAAAATGTGTATATTTTTTGCAGTAAAAGAAAATGTGGCTTGCCTCATCAAATTCTGCCTCAGAGGATTTATTCTGTTTGAATTCATTTTTAACTTAAGGCTTTTCAAGATTTTGGCCTAATATGAACAATTTATTAAAAATATATTTAAGTCAGATGCTTAAGATGGCTTTAAAATACTTCTTTGGAGAACTCTAATACAGACAGCTTTAAGATATTTTATACCTAGCACTCTGTGGTTATTTCACTGACCACCAACCCATTCCCACCATCAAAGTCATTCCTTCTTTTTACACATAGTGCACGTTATTATATAGCTCTGTTGCAGCATTTTTTATTGGGCTGTGATTCTTTTCAGGGGGCCATGTCTTTGCCATGTTTTTATTCTCAATAGTACTTTTACATAAGCAGCATTTGTTATATTTAATCTACTCGTAACCATACTTAGTAACTTAAAAAAAAAAAAGACTACTTTGACATTCTTTTCTTTCTCATTCAACTGGATAGCTCTCTTTTCCCATCACCTATTTTCTGGACCCTCATCAATAAGCTACCTCTTTTCTTCATCTAACCACCCACTAGCACCATCTGCTTTCCCCCGCATCTTTCTTTTAATTTTATATTTACTTCTGGGTCATTTTTCAATGTAACAAGATTACTTTGAATTCAATTGTGCTATTACTCTCTTTATGAGACTAACTTAAAATTAACTTGGATGTACATTGTTAATTCATTGCTTTACAGAGAAAATACAAGGGGGAAAAAATCTCAAAAGAGGAAATTGTAAAGATGACACAAAGTGAGTGGCCATTATTTACTTTATCCAAGTCTGTTTCATTAAATGTTAGCACATTTCCTAACACAGAATATCCACATACTAAATGACTGCTGCACATAATGAATGAATCTATCACCAAGCAATGAACCAAATAACTCCTGAGCCAGAAATGAAGGGTCCAGAAATTTCCTTTTAATCTTTTTCGTATTTTGGAAATTTTATATATTTAGGTCACTGATATTGTTCTTCTAAAATACCTAATACTGAATTTCTGACGAGTGCTGAAACTGTTCTTGCTTTCCATGACCTCACAGAAGACATATACTGGGACAGCTAACGTCTGCTCTTTGCATTGACTTGGCACTCAATATAAATCTTTGGCTTTTGTAAGTTTGTCTGATTGTTACAAATTGTTTGAATAGCATACCCACAGTTAAGCATAAATATAAAATTTCATACATCAAAAATTTTTTAAAGCATAAATGCCTTTCAACTATTTTGGTTCTTCTCTCCAGATTTTCTATAACCTTTTAAAAATGCAAGACCAAAACAAGAGAGTAAATTTATTCCAATTATTTGCTAGGGGTAGGGTAGGGAAGAGAATATAATCAATACAATTCATTCGTTGATTTTATTGATACAATTCATTGATTAAACAAGGGATGATTTGGCTAAAGAACATGAATATTTAAATCCTGAGACAAAAAATTAATCTCTTATTATTAAATAAAAGGTAAACTAAAAAGAGGAAAAAGAAGAGAGGAAGTAGATTAAACCTATATGAAACACATTTCTTAAAGGTAGAAATGCCTTAAGAATGTCCATGGAAACATGAGAAGGCTTGGAATAGGGTGTTAGGAATAAGGGCACATGAGCACTTTTGCAGACTGCTTAATAGCAGAAATGTTTTGGCAGATGGTTGCAAAAAGCCACAAAGAGATCAATAACCACTAACTTCTGATAAAAAGAAATGAACACACAAATTCTTTTTAGAGTGGGATTTTAAAATGTACATATTAACTAATAAGAGAATATGAGGATTACTTTAAGATATTTAATACAATGTATAAAAAAGTCAACTTTCACTAAATATAATTTAAGGAGTGTTTATTGGCTTTACAAAAGATTTTATACCAGAATTCCTTTATATAGCAGTTCCCTTAATGCATTTTAAATAATTCTTTTTTAAATGTAAATCTTTTAACACACTGTTAAAGAAATATCTCCTCCAAAAAGTGGGATACAGCTGCATGAAATATTCAAAGAGGTCATAATATTGAAGAGAGAATTATTGGTGAGACAAAATACATGGCAAAAAGTCCGCTTTATGTATTTCAGGACCTGCCCCCAAATCCCATGGATCTTTTTCAAATGTTACAACTAACAAAGAAGATGGCGAGGGTAAGACAAAGGGAACACTGAAAGAGTAATAAACAAACTCAAAAACTGTAACTCTTTTTGCCAGTCTTGGGGGAGAAAAATCAAGAGAAGAAAGTAGGTGCCTATTTAAGCAATGAACTAAATCTTGAAGAAATTTGTTTTTAAGTATTGTGTGAACATCATACAAAATGAAAAAGTCCTAGAGCTGAGCTGTACAACACTGTGCTTACTGTTAACAATACTGCACTATAAAAACTTAAAATTTGTTAAAAGGGTGCATCTCATATGTTTTTTAACCAGAATAACACTTTTTTATAGTATTAGATTAGCAAAGAATACAGCCTTGATATACAAAATGACCTCAGATGTTTATCTGGCAGGAAACCCTTGACCACCTTCAGATAGCATTCCCTTTCGTCTTTTTGTGAATATTTCTTTTTCATTTCTGGATTCTGTTTTCTGTCTTACTTTTCCACTTCTTTGCTTAGAACTATCATCCTTTGCCCTCTCTTTCACAAGATCCGAGATATTCCTCACTCCAGCCTGGGAGAAAATAACTACTTTGCTTTTGTTCTCTCTTCTTTCCACATCTAGTTGTGGCATGTTATGTTATCTTATTTATTGGGTTTTGTTTTTGGTTTTTTTTTTTTGAAGTAAACCAAAAAATAAAATTAAACACTATAGTTTCTCAAGAGTCATAATACATTTTCCCTTATTTATTATTGTCTTGCAAATTTATATTTAAATTATATTTTACTTTAGACTTTTTTCCCTTTCAGAAAGTGTTTTAACTAAAGCCAATGTGAAATAGAGACCCAAACAACTATTCTTCAGTTAAATGTAATCAAGCAATCTTACTAATTCAGGGAAACACTCATACAATAGAAATTAACAAGACATTATATTTATTGTCCATATTCACCAGATAAAAGTCAATCCTCACATACTATTGACTTTAAAAAGGAAAATGAAAAGAAAATGTATAGTATGCCACCTTTTGCATAATAAAAAAGGTGAAATGAGAAAATAAACATGTATCTGGTTTTTTTTGCTAAAAGAAACATAGGAAGGACAAACCAGAACCAAAGGGATTGGCTACCTAGAGAGTAAATAGAAGCAACGTGTATGGGATTGGTTGGGTAGGAGTAGTGACATTGCTCTGAGTATATTTTTTTATAGTTTTGACTTTGTGGAACCATCCACGTAATGTTTTACATATTCAAAAATAATCAAATCAACAAGAATGGAGGAGGAAGGAAATCTTAAATGAAAAAGAAATAGAAATAAATACACTTAACTGTATTTTAAATGAATAACAACAACACTTAAGTAGGGGGAGAAATGCAAGTGACATTGAACACAAGACTTCAACTCTATATCCTCAGTGTAAAGATAAAAACAGGAAACAAATATTACACGAATTATTTTTGCAATAGTATGGATTAGCAATTCTGAAACAACTTACTGTGTATTGTAGAATTGAACAAATGTGAATAATGGGAGCCAAGTTTCCTCAGTGTTTCCAAGAATGAGAGGAAAAACAATGAGAATTAACCCTATGGTGTTATACTAGAATTGGTGGTACTAGAATGAACTCATGATTTTTAGCATGGAAAGGAAGGAAGGAAAGAAGGTAAGGAAGAGAGAGAGGGAGGGAAGAAGTAGTAAGATATGTATGTTTTTAATATATGTTTATATTCATATTTCTTAGCTCTGTCCTCTAAAAGGGTCTTGAAGCAAACACACCCCATTGAAATAAGCACATCTGGCACTCTCATTTGACTTCTCAAAACCATTAAGCACCCAAAAAAGAACACGTCTCCGGGGAGAAATGGCTGATTTGGGGGCTGGGACTGGAAAGTGCAAGCTGAACCTGGAACAACTTGTACCAGCAAAGACATGCTCAAACAATGATGAGGAAACTTACCTATCCTCCTCCCCACGCAAAATTCACTGGAGCTGGCCCAATGGAGTTCCCACTGGCCAAATCTGGGACAATTTTAACATCAAAATTTTTAAATGATAGTAATAGGATACTCAAGAAATAACTAAGAATCTGAGTCTAATCTGACATAAGTAAACAAATAAATGAGTGGGAGACAGGAGGCTCTTCCTTGCAGTAGAATACCAACTAATCAATATAGATGAAATTATGGAGTTAAAGAAATCACCATTTGGCAACCATCTTAGCAATAAATGATTCAGCCAAGAATCATCAATAGATGCTAAGAGAGTGGGAGGAAGTTGGAGGAGGAAGAGAATATTTTTACATAGTCTGAAAGTATCCTTTCAGAAATTATTTATTAAAAGGGAAAAACATTAACTTCACAGTGGATTAATTTAGTGAGCACAACCTTTGAAAGTAATCAAAGTTAATGTCATCAATAATGAGTGAAACCAGTATCATGAATCTTCCAATCTGATGCCCTAAGTATTACTGCTAAAATGTATAAACTGAATTTAAGTATGAGGAAACATCAGACAAACATGAATTGAGGGACATTCTATAAAAATAACAGGCCTGTATTCTTCAAAACATTCAAGATCATAAAAGAAAGACTGGGGATTTGCTCCAGATTAAAGGAGGCAAGAGAGGTATGACAAAAACAATGTGTTATTCTGTACCAGAAAAAACAAATTTCTAGAAAAGACATCATTAGGACAACTGTTAAAATTTGAACACAAACTGTAGATTAGATAACAGTATTATATCAATGTGAAATTTCCTGATTTTGATCAATGTATTGTGGTTAACTAACAGAAAATCCTTATTCTTAGGAAATTCATTGAAGTATTTATGGTTAAAGTGGCAAACTCTTAAATGTTTCAGAAAAAAGTGGGGGGTGGGGAGAAAAGGGGACCAAGGATAAAGTATATGGGATAAAATGTTAACAGTGAGTGAATTTGGATAAATGATATACAGAAGTTACTTGTACAATTGTTGCAACCATTCTATAAAAGTGAAATTATATCAAAATTAAGTCTTTAAGTCAACTCTTCATTTTATCATCTGACGTAAACTAAATTCTAGCTGTGTTCAGAATCAGTCTTCTAAGCCCTAGGCACTGTACCAAATACTTTCACACAATATCTCATTTAATCAAGATTCAGAAAAATAAGGTTAAAAACTACCATCAATTCTGCCTGTAAAAGAACTAGAATCTGATGTGATTGTCTGCTATAACATTCCTTCCCTGTTCTGGTTATAAAGCCTTCTCTCTGTCTCCCTTTCCACAGTGGCCTGAGGCCTGCTGTCCTCAGTCAATCAGTGTCCCAGTCCCTTGACTAAATTGATTCACTCATTGATGGGCACATGACCCAAGCTTGTCCAGGAACCTCTCTGCCCCTTGACTGTGAGAGACACTGGGGAAGAAGCATCCTCTCCTGATTTTTCTTGTAGGATAAGCCTTAGGCTGCTGCCTGCCCAACATGCTCACCTTCTGGGGACAGTTGATCCAAGAGATGGTGAGAACAGAGGCCTGATGCAGCTGTGCTTAAAGATCTACCCCTGGAGCTAGGGGAACTGAAAAACTCCACCTGTGCATAAGTTAGCCAAGTAAGTTTCTGTTCCTTTTGATGAATGTACTCTTACCTGCCATAGTAGGTAAAGTATAATACAGATGGAAACAGTTTAAGTTATTTCTAAAAAAAAAATCCCTTAAAAGTAGAAAAGTCATATTACTCACCAGTAATAAAGCTATGGTCAAATTAAATAAATCTCCAACTCTGTAAGTGGATATTAATATGTACTAGAAATAAAGACTACATTTAATAGATAGCTTACTAAATGAGTATGTGTTGTATCCATATATTTTTAGTGTGGTCATGTTATACAGTTAAATTTGAAGAAATCAGAAACCAAAACTGATAATAGCTTAACAATTCCTGCAAGCACAGAAAAAATAAAGCCAAAGGTTGGAATTCAATCCCAGTATATGCCAGTTTTATTTACTTTCTTCTATGACTATAGTTTTATAGCCTATAAACAAATCAACTGACTACATAGGAAATGGCTAACCAACTCAAAACATAAGTCATACTAAACTATTATATCTTTTAAATAATACATAAAAAGCATATAACATTTATTAAAAACTTACCATCAGAACTTGTGAGGACAAAGCTTTCTGCTTGAGTTTGTTTCTTTACGCCTAAACTTTTCGGAAACCAGTGAAGATCTATCGGGTAAATATCATCAGGCAGCTTTACTATTTGACTTGTTTCACTGGTTAACAAGTTCCACTTCACTATCTGGTGATCATCACTACACGAATACAGTTCTTCAGCAGTAGTCCAGCCCACACAGCTTACTAATTCTTGATGTGCCACCATGTTAAGGAGACAAAACACACAAAAGTCTTAACTCTTAATAAATACAATATTTTGCAGATGTAGATTGTAAGATTATAAAGTAGAGTCAAATGTTTCATGCTTCTAAACCTATTTTTAATTTTATGACTTTCATATTTTTTCCATATAAAAAAGGAAAATAAGCATCTATCAAAACAGTTGTAAGAAGAATGGAAAGCAAGATAAGAAATCCAGGTGACAAAAGAGAAAAAAAGAAAGATTTGACTACATGAAAAGTTTTTAACTGTTACAAAATATTCCATAAACTAGGCCAAAAGACACACAAAGACATATAACAGATCAAAAGGTATGAAACCTGCTGGGGGATAAGTGAGGTGAAAAGGGAACTGTGCTTTTTAAAATTTACTTATATCTGCATCATTTAAGTTAGTAGAATAAGCATGTATTATTTTGATAAGTTTTTAAAAATCAAATGCTAAAAGAAGACTGAAATCTAACAGTAAATACCTGCTTAAATTACACATGAAACTGTGTGTCTAGAGAAGGTACTTCAGTTTGTCATTTATAAAGGATGCTTTCTCCTGCTTATATGTGGATTTCAACACTACCCCATCATTCCTGGTTGGTTGGTTTGCTCTTTTGTTGTTATTGTATAATCATTTTACTTCCTCCTCTTCTCACCAATGCTTTTTATTGACTTATCTAAGCAATCAATAAACTCTAAGGAAAAAGAAAGAGACTAAGTGCCGTAATTATTCTGGGATGTTCTAAGATTTTTTAATACCTCAAAATATAATAGATTGAGCAAATAACCAAAAAGGTTAAAAAATCAATTATAGAAAGATCTTAAGAGTCTGCATAACTCAAAAAAATAAAAATAAAAATAAAATCAACACATACAAAAAAAAAAGAGTCTGCATAAATAGGTTATAAAGTGTCACTGGAATACTCAACTCAAAAGTACAATCTAAACAAAAGGAGCTGAGTACCACTAGACCACTACTGAAAAAAAATTTCTTCCAGTATAACTGCTGTAGCTTAAACAATGTTAGGTAAACCCTTAGAAAAGAAAAATGTTAGACACAACCTAGAAAGAAAGAATATACACACCCCAAAACAAAAAGCATTAAGCTTATCCTTACAAAAATTGCTGTAAGTACACATCAGATATACGTGACATGTCTTCAAACTGATAACTCAACTAAAATTATGGGAGAAATGAGAGGACTGCCAGATTAAGAAAGTCTAAAAAGACTGTTATTCTTCAGCTTGAAAAGATAAAAGCAGACAACAGACATAGTCAAAATCTGTAAGATTGTATATAGCATTAACTCCTGAAGGCATATTTGAAAAGAGAGTAAAAATGATTTATGGAGAAATAAAAGGAATTATACCTTCATTCATAAGGTAAAAAAAGCAGACAAGATAATGTAAATTCAAAACCTTTGATTAAATGTCTAAACAGTGCTTTTCTGTCTCTGACAGGTCATTTTTTTATTTCAAATTCGTTGCAAATCAAATAACATTTTGTAAGACAAAAGTGAATTACTAGAAAAGTAATTTTATATTTGGATATTGTGACTATCAAATTGCTACAAAAATTTCTTACCTCTTACTTTCAATTTCTGTATTTATCTCTTCACAGACTTGCAATAAAGTCTGCAGATGATACTTTTAGAAGCACTGATCTAAATAACTAAGAATGAAGGTAAAAGGGCCTATCATATCTTCCTGACACATAATTGGGAATTTTTACTGACAAAACATAGGGTCAAGCGTTTGAGAAAATATAATTGCCACCTTCCCACATGAATAATAAAAGTCTAACTGTTCAGACTTACCCAGCTTATCCTCCACTTTATCATACGTATGAAAAATACTAGATCACACTAACAAAAGAAATTATTTAATTAAAAAATTTTTTTCTTTTCTTTTTTTTAATATGCCATTTGCAGCAACATGGATGGATCTGGAGATCATCATTTTAAGTGAAGTAAGCCAGAAAGAGAAAGAAAAATACCATATGATATCACTCATATGTGGAATCTAAAAGAAAAAAATCATTTGATTTTTAAAAAGCTTCTCTTTAAGATCATACTAGACTAAACAAAAACTTCACAGTAGTCCTTAAGTAGTAAAAGAAAAACATCAATAAAAATTCGAAAATAAGAACAGACAGTTTGCTTTGGAGAATTACATGCAACACATGACCTCAAATATTTCAAAAACAATTCAGCTAAACTACTATTAAAAGAATGAAAAAAAATCCACTCTCCAACTAGGCTATAATAGAAGAAAACTTTGAACAATACTGTAGTAAGGTGATCACAATAAGGTTTATAAGTATTAAAAGGATATGCTTTGGTTCTTTTAAAAGAGATATCTTCAGTCTCATGTCTCCACTTTTCAGCAAAATTTTTAGATGCCACTTGATTGTATTCACTGTAAAATAAAAGTTAGGAGGGAAACATAGAATCTGCATTAAAAACAAAACATGAACACAAAAAAAATAAAAGCAAACAAAACATCTTAGCACCGCAAGGACACTGAAGCACCTTCAATCTTCCTAACAGCAAACATATGCAAAGAGGAAGAAAACTACTCAGAGTGTGCTAATTCTGCCAACAGATGATTGGAGACCTTGAGTTGGATTCCAGAGGTCCTCACAACCTGCCTAAAACATTCCTGCAAGTGCAGAACACCACTGAATCTGGTCAGGTAAGTAATTTCAAAGGCTGTCCTGAGGACAAATCAGAAGATTCTTTAAAATAGGTACCCTTCAATGGCAGATCAGTGTTGGTGCTGTTGAATGGATATCCATTAAAATAATTCTGAAGGTCTGATGAAGGGCTACCATACATTTTTACAGGCCTTAATTATAGAACCCACATAGTAATATTATGACATCATCAATCTAGTGATCCAATCTGAGATTTACATTCTGTCTGGGGTAGATACACTGCCCAACAATTATGGTTTCCACAGTGGCAATGTGAAAAATAAGTGCGTTATTTAAGAAAGAGGTAATAAATCCATTATAAAAGTTATATAAAAATCACAATGTAATTGCCAAATAAAAACTGGGAAGAAGAGTAACACTCCTGCAATAACCATGCTATCAAAATAGACAAATTAAGGAAATGCTAAATTATCACAATCCAATTTACAGTTTTGTATTCTTTCTGAGTAACATCACTAACTAAAAAGAAAAAAAAATTAAATGAAAGTGTGGTTAAAGGAAAAAAATGCTTTTCACCAGGTAGAAAATTACTGTTAACTACATCAAAGGAGGTACTGAGTGTAGATAAGAACTCAGTGGGCCTACCTTCGATAATTTCTCATTCCTCCGAATCTAGGAAGACTTATAGATTAGCAAGGTGCTAAATACAGCTGTATTTCAAAACACCTTTTTCACTTATTCTACTCCTAAATTTGTGAGACTAGGGGGAAATTGTTAAGACTACAGGAAAAAAGTTTCTGTCTAGTTAATATGCGATTAGGGTCAAAAACCTTCTCTCTTCTCCAGATGACTTAAGGAGATTTATGCTCAAATTCAAAAGTATGGATCAGTGTATAGCAGGCAGAGCAAGAATATAATCTCTCCCAGGCTATTTCCAAGGCTCACTTTAATTCCTAGGAATTTCAGCACCTTTTTCAAAACTTGTTCTCTCTTCCATCAGACCTCCTTCAATTAGAGGAGGGGAAAGGTAAAAATCTTTACAAAATGCTACTTTTTCACAATAATTCAAGTAGCAATTCAGCTTATAAGGATTTCAAAAGAATAGACAGATAAATTGTTCATTCTGAAAATGAGAAACAACACAATAGACAAGAAAATATATATAAAATTACAACCAGAAACTTTGAAGATCTTTGGCAAAGTCATAATGTAGCCTATTGCAAAACACATCTGGAGTTCGAGATTTTTGAGCACGAGCCACACACCTGTTCTCCTTGCTTAGCATTGCAATAAAGCTTTCTCTGTTCCAAACAACAACACCTCAAACTGCAGAAATCCATAATTAGGAATAATTCCTTACCAAAGAAATCTAATACTATATAAATAGTAAAGGCAATATGGTTTTTATGAGAAAGGAATCAACTATTCAGAAACATGGTGTAAAGGATCAGAGAAAGAGAGTGGCATCCTAGCACTGGAATGATTCTCCCTTGCTCAGAAAGATCTTCCCCATACACCCTATTTAGCTGAGATCATCTGCATGAATGATATGTGCATTCTGATATGAGACTGAATAAAGGAACAAGGGGAAAGTAGTATTGGAGCACAGCCATTTAGGGGAATTGCAGAGCTGCCTGAGCACTACATTGAGGCATTTTTATCTGCCCAAAGGCATTGGTCATCAAGGATCTGACTAGCCAGTGGTAACTGGGGTTGGGGGGTGGATAATTAGAGAGCAGACAAGAGGAACTATGCCTTTGCTACTAAAAATGATTTATAAATTATCTTTGAACTATCTTTGGTCCAGTGTAGGTCAACATTTATGAGGCTTAAGAGGAAAAAATGTGCCCAGGAAATCCTGATTACCAAGCTACCAAAATATATTCCAAATCTGGCCACTCCTCAGCACCCGCATCATAGTTCTAAGCCACCATCATTCTCTGCCTCAATTATTACAGTGACCCCAGAACTGATCTTTCTGCTCTTACACATACCCCTTCAAATTCTTCTAAATATAGCAGCCAGTAATGCTTCTAAGGCTAAGTCAGATCATGAAGGCCAGTATGGCTAATACAAGGTGAGTGGAGGGAGTAGCAAGAAATTGGGGAAGAAAAGTGACACAAAATCCCATAGAGGTTTGGAAAACCACAATAAAAGAACCATTTTTTTCTTTTAAATGATACCAGTTTTCCTTTTGAATGAACGGAGAAGCCAGTGAAGAGTTATGAGCAAAGAAGTGATATGATCTGACTCACATTTTAAAGTGTCAGTATGGGTGAAAGAAAAAAAAAAGAGCAAGAATGAGCAAGACTGGAAGCAGGGAGGCCAGCTAGGTTCAGTAATCCAGAAGAGGAGTTAAAGTGGATGGATGAGGAAGGTAGCAGTGGTAAAATGACATAAAGTGGTCATATTCTATTCAGAATATATTCATATCTTGAAAGAAGATCCCACAAGATTTGTTGATGAATTGGGGTTAAGAGAAAGAGGAGTCAAAAATGACTCTGAAGTTTCAACAGGTAGAACAGAGTTGCCATTTACTGAAATGAAGACTAAGGGAGGAACAAGTTGGAAGAGATGATGTAAAAATTCTGCTTGGGGCATGCTAAGTTTAAGGTGCCTACTAGACATCCAAACAGAGAATTCAAGGAGAAACTGGATATACAAATCTGGAGTCAAGGGATAGGTGAGACCTGGAGATACCATTGAGATATCAATTTGAGGGCTGTCAGCATAACGATCATATTCGAAGCCATGGGGTAAGATGAGACTACCCAGCAGAACTTGAAAAGGTGGTAGCTTCAACAGCCTAGAAGTCCTACTGAACTGAACTGTCAGCACTTAAATTCTAGAGGAAGTAACCAGGGAAAAACAGGTAGAGATATACAGACAATGAGATGTTTAAAACAAATTTTGGGAGCAAATATAGATATATAAGACTATGAAAATGAGTGGCCGAGGTCAAGGAACTGGGAGGCCAGGGAATGGAATTGATTGAGTCAAGGATGTTAAATCACTAAGAATAATGATAAGAATAGTGGTGGAGATAGACACAGTTACCCAGGTGCTAAAATACTATTCACTGAATGAGGAAAAATATAAGAGATCTGTGGCTGACTAACTGCAAAAAGGTTTGATCTCTGACGACACATCTCAAACGGACTAGGGGATTTTAGAGAGGAAAGGAAAAGACAATCAGTTGTCCAGAAACACTAACGAGAAGCAAGCCCACACATTGGTGTCTGGAATGCAAAATAGCCTGGTCCACTTGAGAAGGCCAAGGGGCAAGCAGTTTCCTTAGAAGCAACCAGATTTAAGTTAGACTGTGAAGTTAAAGGGATCATTCACAGTAAAGGTTGAGAACAAAGATCTGGGCAATGACAAACTATGAGCTCCAAAAGGTAGAGTTGTAGGATTTAGATGGGGAAGAGCTAAGAGTTTGGGACAGATGGTGGAAAATGGTAAGAACAGCCAGCTGTCCTCAAATACTCATTCATCCCTATTTCTCCAGTAGAAGAATCTGAATTTTTGCTGTATACCTGGCCACTTAGAATAAAGATTATATTCCCCAATTGCCCTCAAAACTAGGTGTGGCCATGCAGGGCATTAACAATTCTTAAACCTACATGGGGATATTACATCAATCAACCTAGTAGTCCAATGTGGGATTTATACTTGAAGGGTGGGTAGATAACACTGCCCATCAGTAATGGTTACCCACAGTGGAATTATGAAAAGTAAATGAGTTACCTCTTACAAAAGCCAACTTATTATCTCTTATAAAAGTTATATAAATCAGCATAACTTGGAAAATAAGAATAGTACTCTCCCCACCATGCCATCAAGACCATATATAACATGACAAGATAGAAGGAACCAAGATTCTTGAACTTGTGGAGAGTCCTATCAGTCCTGTACCATCTATTTAGCTTTTTAAGTAATAGAGAATAAAGTTTTATCATGTTTAAGTTACTGTCATCAACAGCTAAATCTAATAATGAACTAATGCAGGGAATGAAAAGTCTTGAATGTAGAGACTGAGGTAAACAGGGATGTAAGCTATGATGTAATAGTCCCAATGGTTGGATAAAGGAAAGCAGATAATCAACTTAAATTGTAGCCTTCCTCCCAGAACTGCTCTCTTAGGTGGTTTGTAGTGCTGATGCAGAGTTTTGTAAGAGAGAAGGGCAATCTTGCTAGGAGTACATGTACCTCTATGGGAATTCCTTTACAATCCTGCTAACGAGGCTGTTAGGATTTATTTCAGTAGGCAGTTTATGGAGGGAAAGGAATTGTAGAGTTATAGAGGGAATAAACATCCCCAACCTTTTCTCCTAATTTCCCCAACCTTAAACTGTGAGCTCAGTCCTTGTACTTCTTCTGTACCTGTACTCACTGCCATGGTCATCTCACCCAGTTTCATGGCTTAATATAAATTTAAATATAGTGACTACCCAGTGACAACCCCCAATTTCTTATCTCCAGTTCAGACCTCTCCACTGAACCCAATTTTTATATCTGATTATTTGACAAATCTATTTGAATGTCTGACATCTCAAACTGAAGATTCAAATCAAACCCCTAATCTTTCCTCCAACTTTGCTTCTCCCACAGCCTTAACCATCTCAGTAAATGGCAATTCCATTCTTCCAGTTGCACAGGTCAAAAACATTGGAATCATCACCAACTCTTCTCTCACATCACAAACACAATTAATAAAAAACAAAATCTGTACGCTCTATCTTCAAAATATCTGAATTTCATG